TATCAATATGTTTTGACCATGACAGTTTACAATCCAGGGTTACTCCAAGCAGTTTAGTCACCTCAACTTGCTCAATTTCCACATTATTCATTACGAGATGTAGTTGAGGTTCAGGGTTTGGGGAATGATTTGTCCCAAATACAATGCTTTTAGTTTTGGAAATATTTAGGACTAATTTATTCCTTGCCACCCATTCTGAAACTAACTGCAGCTCTTTGTTAAGTGTTGCTGTCATTTCAGTCACTGTGGTAGCTCACATGTATAGTGTTGAGTCATCCACATACATAGACACACTGGCTTTACTCAAAGTCAGTGGCATGTCGTTAGTAAAGATTGAAAAAAGTAAGAGGCCTAGACAGCTGCCCTGGAGAATTCCTGATTCTACCTGTATTTTGTTGAAAAGGCTTCCATTAAAGGACACCCTCTGTGTTCTGTTAGACAGGTAACTATTTATCCACAATATAGCAGGGGGTGTAAAGCCATAACACAATTTTTCCAGCAACAGACTATGATCGATAATGTCAAACGCCGCACTGAAGTCTAACAAAACAGCCCCCACAATATTTGTATCATCAATTTCTCTCAGCCAATCATCAGTCATTTGTGTAAGTGCTGTACTTGTTGAATTTCCTTCCCTATAAGCGTGCTGAAAGTCGGTTGTCAATTTGTTTACTGTAAAATAGCATTGTATCTGGTCAAACACCATTTTTTCTAAAAGTTTACTAAGGGTTGGTAACATGCTGATTGGTTGGCTATTTGAGCAAGTAAAGGGGGTTATCAGCCGGTCCTGGCACCATGGCACGAGAGCCAGATCGAGGCCCCTGCGTATACCGGTCCCTCACTGCGGTGGCGATCGGCGCTCGCCTTTTGTTGACGGATGGCCCGCTGCAGATGGACATGGGCCACTCATCCACCGCAGGGGCCTGGGAAGCGTATCAGAAGTAGACATGCTCATGTCATTTATGTTTGAGCTGATAGTGCAGGGGTGAGCTGCACACAGTGGACTTCCTACTAGGCACACCGCCTCAGTGCTAACATTATAACTCTGGTTCATAGGCACATGATTACTTTTTCCCTTTATTCAGATTACAACCTCTCACTTGCAGTTATTTGAAAAGGAAATAATCTCCCAAATATCACTATTTCTAAAACAAGCCATAGAAAGTTGGTTGCAATTTCAATTTAATCCTACAGAAACTACAGAACAAATAATGCAACAAATATTGTGGTTAAACTCAAATATACTAATTGATAAAAAAACCATACTTTTTTGAATAAAATAAACCAAGTATAATCTTCGTAAATTATATCATAGGTAGGACTGGTGGAGTTATGTCGCACATGCGGCTAACAAAAACATATGAATATGTCTGCTCTACCCAAAATTACAACCAAATAATTGCAGCATTACTGCAAAAATGGAAGAGGAAAGTAGAAGGGGGAAAAAGTAAGGAACTTGTCTGTCGGTCCTGCATTAAAGAACATAATTGGTTAAAGAAAATTGTAATAAATAAAAAAGTATACCAGTTTCATTTAAGGACCAAAGGATTGACAGCCGTCGCATATGGATTGCAAAATAGTTGGGAAGAGATTTTTGACGTACCGATTCCATGGCAAAGTGTTTATGAACTGATACGCAAAACGATGCCGGATTCAAAATGTAAAAATGTTTCAATTTCTATTATTATACAACATTCTTGCTACCAATAGAATGTTATTTATATGGGGGATACAATCTTCCCAGCTCTGCAGATTTAGCTGCAAAGAGACAGAATCATTAGATCATTTGTTTTGGTAGTGTCCATTTGTAGCTTGTTTTTGGTCACAGGTCCAGGAATGGCTGAAGAATTGCAATATTTACCTGGAGCTAACCCTGCAGATAGCACTACTGGGTGATCTGAAAATGTCTCGCCCTGACCTATAGAACTCTAGTTAGTTTGGTCAGGGTGTGAATATCATGTCTGTGTTTTCTATGTGGACAGTCTATGTTTGTATTTCTATGTTTGGCCGGGTGTGATTCCCAATCAGAGGCAGCTGTTGCTCGTTGTCTCTGATTGGGGATCATACTTAGGCAGACAGTTTTCTTGCCTGGGTTGTGGGATCTTGTTTGTGCTCGGTGAGTTTGGCTTGTTAGTGTATAGCCTTCCGACGTCACGTTTCGTTGCCTTTTGTTGTTTTTGTATGTTTATTCAGTTTAATAAACATGTATGCATTTCACGCTGCGCCTTGGTCTGACCCGTTCTTCAACGACCGTGACAGAAAAGTCATAGTCAATCGATCAATAATATAATAATACTTTTAGCAAAAATGTTTATTTTCAATTTACAATCTGTAGAAACAATGAGAATAGAAGGGTTCAGAACTTTTGCGAAACATCACAGTACAGTTTAAAAATATATGGCAAATAGCAATCAAATATGGATGGTGTTAAGAGATAGATGGGAGGTGTTGAATGGAGCTGAAGGATGGGACTAATAACAACTAACAACAACTAATAACAACAAGATAACTAATGTAAAGCATACTGTGTCCATAATAAGTATATAGGTTACAGGTGAGAGCTTTTGTGAAAGAGCACAGTTCGAAAGATATGGCATATAGAAGCAAACCGGATGGACATCATAAATGATTGGAGAGGTTGAGGGTAGAGGAAGTTCAGGAGTAAAAACAAACTAAATAGAATTATTGTAAAATTGACTGTGTCCATTAAATGTATATGGCATGTATAAGCTGGAAGTAGAGGCCTAAGTGTTGTTGTTCACTAGTTTACTTCAATTAGGGAAGGGGTGGTGGGGTTGGAAAGTAATAAAGGGAAATATATATATATATATTTAAGGATATGTATATATATGTATATGTACAGTGAGGGAAAAAAGTATTTCATCCCCTGCTGATTTTGTACGTTTGCCCACTGACAAAGAAATGATCAGTCTATCATTTTAATGATAGGTTTATTTGAACAGTGAGAGACAGAATAACAACAAAAAAATCCAGAAAAACGCATGTCAAAAATGTTATAAATTTATTTGCATTTTAAATAGGGAAATAAGTATTTGAACCCCTCTCAATCAGAAAGATTTCTGGCTCCCAGGTGTCTTTTATACAGGTAATGAGCTGAGATTAGGAGCACACTCTTAAAGGGAGTGCTCCTAACCTCAGCTTGTTACCTGTATTAAAGACACCTGTCCACAGAAGCAATCAATCAATCAGATTCCAAACTCTCCACCATGGCCAAGACCAAAGAGCTCTCCAAGGATGTCAGGGACAAGATTGTAGACCTACACAAGGCTGGAATGTGCAACAAGTCCATCGCCAAGCAGCTTGGTGAGAAGGTGACAACAGTTGGTGCGATTATTCGCAAATGGAAGAAACAAAATGTCAATCTCCGTCGGCCTGGGGCTCCATGCAAGATCTCACCTCGTGGAGTTGCAATGATCATGAGAACGGTGAGGAATCAGCCCAGAACTACACGGGAGGATCTTGTCAATGATCTCAAGGCAGCTGGGACTACAGTCACCAAGAAAACAATTGGTAACACACTACGCCGTGAAGGACTGAAATCCTGCAGCGCCCGCAAGGTCCCCCTGCTCAAGAAAGCACATATACATGCCCGTCTGAAGTTTGCCAATGAACATCTGAATGATTCAGAGGAGAACTGGGTGAAAGTGTTGTGGTCAGATGAGACCAAAATCGAGCTCTTTGGCATCAACTCAACTCGCCGTGTATGGAGGAGGAGGAATGCTGCCTATGACCCCAAGAACACCATCCCCACCGTCAAACATGGAGGTGGAAACATTATGCTTTGGGGGTGTTTTTCTGCTAAGGGGACAGGACAACTTCACTGCATCAAAGGGACAATCAAATCTTGGGTGATAACCTCCTTCCCTCAGCCAGGGCATTGAAAATGGGTTGTGGATGCGTATTCCAGCATGACAATGACCCAAAACACACAGCCAAGGCCACAAAGGAGTGGCTCAAGAAGAAGAACATTAAGGTCCTGGAGTGGCCTAGCCAGTCTCCAGACCTTAATCCCATAGATAATCTGTGGAGGGAGTTGAAGGTTCGAGTTGCCAAACGTCAGCCTCGAAACCTTAATGACTTGGAGAAGATCTGCAAAGAGGAGTGGGACAAAATCCCTCCTGAGATGTGTGTAAACCTGGTGGCCAACTACAAGAAACATCTGACCTCTGTGATTGCCAACAAGGGTTTTGCCACCAAGTACTAAGTCATGTTTTGCAGAGGGGTCAAATACTTATTTCCCTCATTAAAATGCAAATCAATTTATAACATTTTTGACATGCGTTTTTCTGGATTTTTTTGTTGTTATTCTGTCTCTCACTGTTCAAATAAACCTACCATTAAAATTATAGACTGATCATGTCTTTGTCAGTGGGCAAACGTACAAAATCAGCAGGGGATCAAATACTTTTTTCCCTCACTGTACATTAACACTAGAATGTTGCATATAGTGTGTTAAAAGTCAACTAATCCACTGGCTATAGATTACACACACACACACACACACACACACACAAACACACACCTATGTATTTTTTGGGGACCAACAATTGCTTCCCATTCAAAATCCTATTTTCCCTAACCCAGGCCCTAATTCTAACCCTAAACCTAAACCCACAGCCTAAAATGGCCTATTTACAAGTGAGGACTGGCAAAATGTCCTCACTTCTCAGAATTTTTGTTGGTTCATTATTCTTGTGAGGACTTTTGGTACTCACAAGTATAGTAAAACGTGTCCACACACACACACAAACACACACACAGTGCAATCAGATAGTCATCCAGACGCTCCCATGAGCTTTTTGCTGACAGGATGAGTCAGCAAGTGACATGTCCAGCGCCTCTCTGTGCTGCAGCCAGCGGTGTAGCTCCTCTCTCAGAGTCCCGGGATATCTTCCGGCTAAAGCCATTGGGAATAGGTTAGGTAGGAATAAATGTTCCAATGAAACATGTCACCCGTGGCTATTAGCATATTAGCATACCTAGCATACAGTCACAGTGTCAGTCTGGTCATCCTCCAGTAGTCCTGCTATGCAGAGGTAAGGCATGGCGATGGGGTGGAGGTGGGGGTGTGTCTGGTTGGGGAGGGGGAGGTCTGAGTAAGAGGGGGTAGGCGGAACACCCGTCTGCAGGATGAACTGCTGCAGGTTACACTGCCTCAGCTCCTTGTTCAGCTCCTCCAGCTCCTGACAACTCTCCTGGAGGGAAAGGACAAGATGTCATGTTATTTCAGTGTCAAACATAGACCATTTCATGTAAACTTTATTGTAAAAGGGGCAGTGCAGTTAAAAACATGATTTTCCTGATTTCTTTATATGATGTTGCCACACTATGAGGTCGAAATAACACTCTAAAATTGTGAAAATGATGATAATGTAGTAGGATCTCATCTGATACTAGTCTGGTAATGAGGGTTGTAGACACATGGGGGAATATTAAACCAAAGATTCAGGGGAGGATGAGCATCCAAAATACTGATAGGGCCAGTTTCCCAGACACAGATTAAGCCTAGTCCTGCACTAAAAAGCATGCTCAATGGAAAATGTCCATTGAAATAATGTTTTAGTCCAGGACTAGTCTTAATTTGTCTGGGAAACAGGCCCATAAGGAAGCGTAGGGAAAGGCAGCTATTCTATTATTAACACAGGAAGCCAAAGGCAAGTTTCCATCTCTGGGTAGACAGCACAGGTGTATTCTACGGGTGTCCTCTCAAGCTCAATAACTCTTCTTCATTGCTAACCTGCTATGACAGAATACAGTTAACCCCCAGGCTGCCGCGTTATACAATGCACTCCCACTGGGTTTACAGTGTCAGATATACAGAATAATCCCCAAACAAGTTCTATAGAACCTGATACAACCATCGTCAAACAAAGGTCTATCCTAGGTTGCTTTCGCTGGGTTTAGCTCTTGTGAGACGTTTAGCAGTGAGTTTGACTTTGTCAGTTATTCTGTGGCATTGAACACAATGAAGGGTTTATAGTCTGAACACTGCACTCTTAGAAAAATAGGTGCTATCTAGAACCTAAAAGGGTTCCATAGGAGAACCCTTTGAAGAACTATGTTTGGTTCCAGGTAGAACCCTATTGGGTTCCATATAGAACCCTTGCCCAAGAGGGTTCTACATGTAAACCGAAATAGTTATACCTGGAACCAAAAATGGTTCTACCTGGAACCAAAAAGGGTTCTCCTATGGGGACAGCCAAAGTACCCTTTTGGAACCCTTTTTTCTAAGAGTGTAGGATGAAAATCTGTATTTCAGTGGGGCGAGATTACAAAAAATGCATGTACATGGCATTATGGCATTTGTATGGAGTGAAAGATAGACCAGTTGGGTATTGTATATCCTATTCATTGTGAGAGCATCAGTACACTCTTAGAAAATAAGGTGCTATTTAGAATCTAAAAGGGTTATTCGGCTGTCCCCATAGGAGAACCCTTTGAAGAACCCTGTTTGGTTCCAGGTAGAACCCTTTTAGTTCCAAGTAGAACCCTTTTGGGTCCCATGTAGAACCCTTTGGGTTTTACATTAAACCCAAAAGGGTTCTACCTGGAACCAAAAAAGGGTTTTACCTGGAACCAAAAAATGGGTCTCCTATGGGGACAGCTGAAGTACCCTTTTGGAACCCTTTTTTATAAGAGTGTAGGCTAGTAATCTTTGATCTAACACAATTGGACAGGTTAGACTTTCCACGTAAGAGGGATTTATTGGCGAGACAAGGGAAATGGTTCAATTCCCATTGGGATCTTTATTGAGCTGTAACATAAGGCATCCATAGTAGGAACTATGAAGTAGTCAGATCTCAGGAAAAACTCAGTAAGTTGTTATGTATTAAACTGTACCTGCAACTGTAATTCTGCAGCCTGCAATGCTTTCTCCGTCTCTGTCAATGACATGTCCAGCTCCACCCCCTGCTGAAGCCGATTGTGTAGCTCCTCCCTCAGTGGTCCCAGGGCCTCCTCTGGCTGCGGGGTGCCTGGACGAGAGTTCCGTCTGTGGGATTCGACCCGAAAGTCCTGCCCCAGCCTGGATGAATGGGTCTGGAGGTCCTTGAGCCGGAAGCTGTATTCATCCATAGAGGCGTAGAGTTGGGGCAGACGTCCGTGCATATCTGTACGGCCAATACAACTCGGATTTAGTTCCTGGATGGTCCTACTGTATATGAGTGTAGGCCTACATATTCCTACATTACACACGGTATTGCTGCATAAGTTACTTGTGTAGGAGATGTGTAACATATACTGATATCCTAGGATATGCCTTCTAAATTGCCCCTGAGGGGATTGATAGTTGTATTGAAGTGACTTGAATTGAATGGACTACATACCCTGCTCCTTGTCCTTCTCTTGCTGCATCTGCTCCTCCCAGTACTCCCCATGCATCAGCTCTGCCTCATTCTGCCTCAGCCTTGTCTCCAGCACATCCAGCTCCTCCACTAGGCCCGGAGTCAGGCCTGGGACAGGAGTTACAGGCCTCCCCAACTCCCACACCTCTGCATCCCTTTCCAAAGCCACCAGCTGGGCCTCCAGGTCCTGTAGAATCTCCTGCTGCTGCAGCACCTGCCTGAAGACCACCTCCTTGGACGCGTCGAACAAGGAGAGCGAGGGAGGGGAGGCGGTGGGGGAAGGGGAGACCAGGGACGGAACAGGCGAGGCCCTGGGCTCTGGTGAGGCTCTTGGACTAGGTGACCAGGCCTTGTTAGCTTTAGTCCTTCTGGGGATTGTAGAAGGACCAAGGTTGAAGGTGAGGGCCTTCTTCGGCTCTCGGCATCTGTGGGGCACGGGTGTAGGGTGCCTGGGCAAAGGATGGACCCTATCCAGGGTGGGTCTGTTAGGTCCGTCAGTGCTGGAGGGGCCCGTACGACGCAAGATGAACTGGACCTCGTTGGCCAGCTGACCCAGATAGGACAGAGACTCTAAGGGACAGTCATCAGCCACAAGCTGCATCTCTGTGCCTCGTAGCTTCTTGATGAGAACATAGCGACCCGTCTGACCTGTGGAAAAAACACACCAAGGCAGGAGTGAGATTGGAGGGAATAAGCTGATAAACTGTGCTCAAAAGCTTTGAAATGAATGAACAACAAAGGAAATTACCTACCAATAGCCTGTGCGAGGGCGATGACCACATCCTGACAGGAAGTCTCCAGCGATAGGCCGCACACCACCCTGACCACGCCCTCCACCCACACCTTCAGCTCCATCTTGGCCTGTCAATCAAACTCAGAGGAACTTGGCCACCACAGCATCCACCTGTGAGAGAGGAGGGGAAGACGTCAATATACTGGGTTCAAATAATAAACTATTTCACAGTACCAAATCAACCTATAACCCCTACTCCTAGGCGCAAATATGTCAATGGAGGAAATCAGTTTGTTCTTGTATTCCCTTAACTGGAGCTGAAGATTTCAACAGGAAACCTCACACTCTTCTCTCATGGAAAAAATGTGACCATCCAACTCTGCAATCCTACACCTACAGTCCTGTACCTGTCATCTGTGTTGACGCCTGACCAGAGAAGGCAGAACCGACCAGAGAGTGAGGCGAGGGCAGGAGGAGGTGTATTGGGTTAGATTCTCATGGTGTCAATATCCCGGTATGAGCAAAAACCATTTAAATGCGGATCTGCACCTAAGAATTTGACAGGAAATAATGGCTTCCTACGCTGTAAACCTAGAGACAAAGCGTAATACCTATGTGGAAGAACTGGAGGATGAGATAGGAAGAAGAGGAAGAGGAGGACACAAACACCAAGGCAGCCTAAGAATGTTGCTCCTCAAATGGCCAACACATCTCCATCACGATTGACAACTCCACAGTGTCCCCCTTCCCAGAGTGCAAAGAACCTTGGTGTGAGCCTGTACAACACCCTGTTGTTCTCTGCAAACATCAAAGCAGTGACTCGCTCCTGCAGGTTCATGCTCTACAACTACTGTAGAATACAACCCTACCTCACACAGGAAGCGGCACAGGTCCTAAGGCACTTGTCATCTCCCATCTGGACAACTGCAACTCGCTGTTGGAATGGCTCCCTGCTTGTGCCATCAAACCCCTGCAACTTATCCAAAATGCTGCAGCCCGATTGGTGTTCAACCTTCCCAAGTTCTCCCATGTTGCCCCGCTCCTCCGCACACTCCACTGGCTTCCTGTCGAAGCTTGCATCCACTACAAGTCCATGGTACTTGCCTACGGAACAGCAAGAGGAACTGCCCCTCCCTATCTTCAGGCTATGCTCACACCCTACACCCCAACCCGAGTACTCTGTTCTGCCACCTCTGGTCTCTTGGCCCTCCCACCCCTACGGGAGGGCAGTTTCCGCTAAGTCCAGTCAAAGGTTTTCTCTCTCCTGGCACCCCAATGGTGGAACCAGCTTTCCCCTGAAGCTAGGACAGCAGAGTCCCTGTCCATCTTCTAAAAACATCTGAAACCCTACCTCTTCAAAGAGTATCTTAAATAATCCCCCCCCCCAGCACCCCTTCCTCCCCCCCACCCCCCCCCCCACCCCTTTTACTAGCTCTGATGTTGATGATAGCTGCTTTATTGAGGAAAAATGTACTTACAATGACGGAGATACAGTGGGGAGAACAAGTATTTGATACACTGCCGATTTTGCAGGTTTTCCTACTTACAAAGCATGTAGAGGTCTGTAATTTTGTATCATAGGTACACTTCAACTGTGAGAGACGGAATCTAAAACAAAATAGCAGAAAATCACATTGTATGATTTTTAAGTAATTAATTTGCATTTTATTGCATGACATAAGTATTTGATCACCTACCAACCAGTAAGAATTCTGGCTCTCACAGACCTGTTAGTTTTTCTTTAAGAAGCCCTCCTGTTCTCCACTCATTACCTGTATTAACTGCACCTGTTTGAACTCGTTACCTGTATAAATGACACCTGTCCACACACTCAATCAAACAGACTCCAACCTCTCCACAATGGCCAAGACCAGAGAGCTGTGTAAAGACATCAGGGATAAAATTGTAGACCTGCACAAGGCTGGGATAGGCTACAGGACAATAGGCAAGCAGCTTGGTGAGAAGGCAACAACTGTTGGCGCAATTATTAGAAAATGGAAGAAGTTCAAGATGACGGTCAAACACCCTCGGTCTGGGGCTCCATGCAAGATCTCACCTCGTGGGGCATCAATGATCATGAGGAAGGTGAGGGATCAGCCCAGAACTACACGGCAGGACCTGGTCAATGACCTGAAGAGAGCTGGGACCACAGTCTCAAAGAAAACCATTAGTAACACACTACGCCGTCATGGATTAAAATCCTGCAGCGCTCGCAAGGTCCCCCTGCTCAAGCCAGCGCATGTCCAGGCCCGTCTGAAGTTTGCCAATGACCATGTGGATGATCCAGAGGAGGAATGGGAGAAGGTCATGTGGTCTGATGAGACAAAAATAGAGCTTTTTGGTCTAAACTCCACTCGCCGTGTTTGGAGGAAGAAGAAGGATGAGTACAACCCCAAGAACACCATCCCAACCGTGAAGCATGGAAGTGGAAACATCATTCTTTGGGGATGCTTTTCTGCAAAGGCGACAGGACGACTGCACCATATTGAGGGGAGGATGGATGGGGCCATGTATCGCAAGATCTTGGCCAACACCCTTCTTCCCTCAGTAAGAGCATTGAAGATGGGTCGTGGCTGGGTCTTCCAGCATGAAAACGACCCGAAACACACAGCCAGGGCAACTAAGGAGTGGCTCCGTAAGAAGCATCTCAAGGTCCTGGAGTGGCCTAGCCAGTCTCCAGACCTGAACCCAATAGAACATCTTTGAAGGGAGCTGAAAGTCCGTATTGCCCAGCGACAGCCCCAAAACCTGAAGGATCTGGAGAAGGTCTGTATGGAGGAGTGGGCCAAAATCCCTGCTGCAGTGTGTGCAAACCTGGTCAAGACCTACAGGAAACGTATGATCTCTGTAATTGCAAACAAAGGTTTCTGTACCAAATATTAAGTTCTGCTTTTCTGATGTATCAAATACTTATGTCATGCAATAAAATGCAAATTAATTACTTAAAAATCATACAATGTGATTTTCTGGATTTTTGTTTTAGATTCCATCTCTCACAGTTGAAGTGTACCTATGATAAAAATTACAGACCTCTACATGCTTTGTAAGTAGGAAAACCTGCAAAATCGGCAGTGTATCAAATACTTGTTCTCCCCACTGTATGTGGTTGTCCCACCTAGCTATCTTAACATGAATGCACTAACTCTAAGTCGCTCTGGATAAGAGTGTCTGCTAAATGACTAAAATGTAAATGTAAACAACCCCCTGGGTGTTTTTAATTTGAAAAACTTTCATTTCATAAACCCCAAGTACCCTGTTCACATTTCTTTCACAAATCTGACCACGACTGGGATTAGTACTACAAATTATATTAATACATTTGATTGATATAGTACTTCTCTAGGACCCAAAGACGCTTTACAATAGTAGTGAAAACAATATGATGCTATTGCTTAACCTTCACCTGCACAGTCATTTAAGATATGTGAAAGGAAGTGAACTAGAGCAGAAGGGAGGGAACAACTGTCTGGAATGAAATACAGCCCTCGTATCCCCCTTCTCTCCCCAACATGCCCTACTTTCCTCTCCCTTGAACTCTGTTGCTCTACATTCTATTTCTCTCCGAAACACTGAGGGGGAGACGTTTGATGAAGATTTACATCGTTGAGGAGAGAGAAAGAGAGAGATAAACAGAAGCAGGAGAGACCGCTTTGGACATCTCCTTTCCCTATTAAAGACATTCCTAACATGTTTGTGGCCCAAAGCACTGGTTTTATACACATGTTGGCACAGATTAATACAGCATAAAAATTGTGTTTCATTGTGGGAAAAACAAAAATGACCAATAGTTTTCATTTCATATTATATATGACTATGGCAGGGTTTCCCAAACTCGGTCCTGGGGACCCCAAGGGGTGCACGTTTTGGTTTTTGCACTAGCACTACACAGCTGATTCAAAGCTTGATGATGAGCTCATTATTTGAATCAGCTGTGTAGTGCTAGGGCAAAAACCAAAATGTGCACGCCTTGGGGTCCTCAGGACCCAGTTTGGGAAACGCAGGACAATGGCCAGTGATGGTGTCTTGTGAAAGACCCCCAGCTGGTCTAGAGGTAGCTCACTTGATTCAACTTGTCAGTTAACACAATAATAACACCTATGAAATTTTAACAATAAAATATGGCTGTGGTTCTTCAAACGGATCTACAAAGAACCTTTGCGATTGAGGACGGTTCTTTGTAGAACCATTCTCCATAAAGGTTCTATAAAGAACCAGAAAGGGTTGTAACCATAGCAGAACCCTTTTTTGGTGCTATGTAGAACCTTTTTGAATGGTTCTTTATAGAACCTTAGGAAATTGTTATTTATAGCGCCTTTCAGGTGCCCCTTTCAAAAAAAGGTTCTATATAGCACCAAAAAGGGTTCCGCTATGGTTACAAGCCAAATAACCCCTATCTGGTACTATTTAGAACCATTTCATTTTAGAATAGTCGTCTTTACGACTTTAAATGTGCCAAAATGTCTCTGGGACATTTAAACATGTCCAATATTCTTGTATATGCACTGTCTATGAGGTTGTTTAAGTTAGAGATGCATCTCTTCAGGTAATAATTTAGCATAGCTGAGTCTTTTGCCTTACGACAAGTCAGTTGTAGTTAGCCCAGATCTCTGACAGACAGTGACAGTGACAGAGTGCAGGGTAAATGCAGGATGTAGGTAGGATTTGCTACTCTCTCTCACAGGCATAAGGTTACCATGCCTGCTTTCTTTGAAAGGTGATACCACAGAGACACCGCTACCACCACCACTACAGAAACACACACACATGCACACATACATTGTTTAGTTTTTTTTTCTATATTTTACACACACATTGTTTGAAAAGGGAGGATAGCTCATTCTTCAGAGTCCCTCTTGGAATTGAGAGAGAGAGAGAGAGAGAGAGAGAGAGAGAGAGAGAGAGAGAGAGAGAGAGAGAGAGAGAGAGAGAGAGAGAGAGAGAGAGATGCAGGTATGCAGAGTTTCAGGTGTTTCCAGCCCCTCCTAACACCAGCTTCAGTAAAAATCTCCCCTATAGTGAGTTGTCCATTTCCGAGGCGGAACTGAAGACCTGCTGATAGGTTAGCTAAGTGGAGGAATGGAATGTAGCAATGATAGACTGACATTCCTTAGGGCACCTCCCC